CTTTCATGGGGAAAAAAACAATTACTTTTTCACTGTCAGATAATCAACATCAGGTATTATAGTTAAAAATTAAACAGTGACACTCAAATATTTTATAGCAAAGAGAAATACATGAGGAGATCATGGGGAAAATATACAGTGCCTGATGATACATGCAGTTAAATCCATAAGACTATCTCCTGTACAATTCACTACAGTAGATCTTTGGGATCTGTGGGATCTGTGGGATCTGTGGGAGTGATTTAACTCTTGGTTCACTGACTCAATTTGACTCACCTCCCGTGTTGAAAAGTCTATGCAAAACTACAATTTCAAATTCCAGCAACCATTTTCTAAGAAGCCTTCTCTTGTGGTGAACATAAATTAGTAACCCTAACCTTCTTATTTTTAATACAAGATTAAGAATTAAACTTTTGTCTAATTGAGTAGATAAAATTGCTAATTTTGAAGTGTACTGTAGTGTACTGTAGGCTGTTGTGATCCAGCACTAAGAATAGGACATGACCCACAAGACTTAAAACTTTTTTTCTCTGGTAGCATTATGATAGTTGTACAACCAAATCCAGGGAAGAAACTGAGATGAGAAGTTTTTTGACTGCATATATTTGTGTCCAGCAAGCAATTTAAATCCTTGGTTAATGCAAAGCATTGACTTCTACTAATAACAACCAATCTGCAGAAATTAGCTTAAGACCTAAAACCTGCCATTCCTCTTTATTTTTAAGGCTGTATTTGTTTTCTGTTCATGTCTTCAGTCTTAAGGAGACAGTTTGTATAGTATTATTTAGCACACTCTTGAGAAATCTTCACTGTATTTGCTCTTAAGAGCATTTTACCTACAAAAGTGAGTGTAAGCACACTTGAACCTAGTTTCTGTTATCTGCCAAAACACCTTTGTTTTGAAACAACTGCTGATAACCCTTTTTCTTGTAACCCATTTTTTAGTACTTTATTCAATGATTAATTATCAGCTTACTTTTTTTCTGATAGCTTTCTTTATGCTTTTCTAGTGAAGTCCACCTGCATTTTAGTGGTATAGTTTATTGAAAAACAAACTGGGAAATGTTCAAATAAAACCAATTTCCATTCTCTGTAACACTACTGAAACAGTCTCTGTATTGTAGTTTTTTATCTGTCAGGTAGAATTGTGTATTCAGGGCTTGCTCCTACAGAGTTAATATCAAGGAAAAGTTATTACTGAAAAGGACAGCGACGGTGCCTCTGCTATATAAAATTGGAGACAAAATTGTGAAAATAATTTTATATAAGACCACAAGAACTCATCTTTTTATCTGAAAGAGCAACAGAATTCTTTTCACAGAGTCACTTGGAGCAAGTTTCCTTGGGGTAAATGGAAACACATTGCTTTTTTTTTTTTTTTTTTTTTAAGGGGATTGAATGTGGTTTTGTGAAATTACTTTTTTTAAATTCAAGGTTATTTTTGATTGAAGGTCATGATTGTTTCTTTTGGAAAAGCTAAGTGGAGTATTTATCACAGAATATTTTTGCCAGAGAGAAGAAAACTCTCTATCCAAAGTAATTTTCAGTAACTGATAAACAGACCTCCTTAATAATTTCTTAAAATCTCTTCTTTTTCTCCTAAATAAAAATGGAAAGTCTGGATATGAAATAGTGTCATGATTTAAGCCCAGCTGGAAATTAAGCAGTCACTCTCTCAACTTCATCTCTCCTATTACACACCCTAGTGGAATGGGGGATAAAAATCTTGTAGATTGAGATAAGAATAATTTAATAATCAAAAATAATGTAAAATACAATAATAATGGCAAGTGATAATATGAAGGAAAAAAGAAGTGCTGTACAATGCCCTTGCTCACCACCTGCTGACCAACATCCTGAACCCAGATTGGACATATTTCTGGGTAACTTCCCCCATTTTATATACTGGGCATGAGTTCTATGGTGGATTACCTACTTGGTCACTTCCAGCTGCCTGTCTCTGCTAGTATCCCTCCTAGTTTATTTTGCATTCCTCTTCACTGTTAAAGCATGAGACAAAAAGACAAAAAGTCCTTAGCAAAACCCAAAAAATCAGTTATTATCAACACCACTCTCATTCCGAATTCAAATCACAGTACTGTAACAGCTACTGAGAAAAAAACCAAAACCCTCTATTCTAGTGGAAACAGGACATAAGGTTGAAAGGTTTTCTAAACAATACCAAAGGCAGGAACATTAGTGATCTAAAGCTTTGCAAAAATAACCCTGAGAAATTCCCCATCTATACAAGTCCAATAAGATCCAGCATCCCTTTCTTTTAAAATAGCATTCATTTGGAGTAAACATCAAGTTGGAATAATCAAAAAAGCAAACAAAAGAGTGTGATTAGATTATTTTGGTCATCTTGCAAAAAATACAATATTGTTCTCTAATGGATGTTGCTCAAGAATATGTAACTTTAAAGTTTGTCAATTCCGCTTGGAAACTAATTCCTCTGGGGGTTTAGTTATTTCATTAAACTCCTCCAGGATTATGCTGCTTTTTTTTTTTATTTATTTTTTTTTAAATTTTCGTTTTGAAGACTTTGAGGGACTTTGAGCACTTTCTCTGAGCTGCTACTCTGCAGGGTAGATGATCTAGAATGCTATCTAGGCTAAATTGGATGCAGCCATCGCTACCTCCACTGGAGGCTGAGGTTCAAGTAGGGGATGTGGAAGGGGAGCAGTGGGGGGACCACCAAAATGTACCAGGAGAGTTTGTGCTATCTTCTCTGTACCCACACATTATGGAGAATAAGACAACAAATATATCTGTCCTGAGCCGTCTCTCCTGAGGGCTGAACAAAGCCAGCTCCCTCAGCCTCTCCTCACCCACCATGTTCTCCAGACCCCAAACATCTCAGGGGACTCCTGCTGGTCTTGCTCCAGCCTGTTAATGCCTTTCCTGTGTGGGGAAGCTCAAGAATGGGCACTGGACACAAGATGGCTGTCCCAAAAAAAGGAAATCAGTCACTTCTCTTGACCTGCTGGCTGCACTCTATATTTTAATTTACTTTAGAGTATTTGATGAACACCCATAGGCATTTATTAATGAGAAAGCAGCACTTCTTTCAAACTGTAAATAAAATGCATATCTCAAGTGCCTATGTATCTATGATGACACAAACCCTGGGAAATTAAATTCATGGATACATCATAGTCAAGGATAAAAGAAAGGTTCCTTTTCTATCTTGGCTTATAAGTATTCTTTTATTTACAAACATTTCTAAGAATCAATGTATTCTTAGCAATGTATGAAACTAGAAGTTCACTCTTTTAGAAAATACCAAATGTTAGAAAAACATTTAATCACAGAAATGTGACCCTGTGGGAACTGGTCATCGTCATACTCAAGCAAGCAGAAGAAATTCTGTGTAGTACAAAATGCAGGAGTACATGAATATCAATTCAAGGCAATATTTCTCTGTCTTTAAGACTAATGTAAATATTGGACTTTCACATTACTGCTGATGTATCTTTTTAGTAAAATGGCCATGAGTAAATAAGTAAATCTATATCTGATATGAAATTCAAAACGTATAACTTTTCTTTTTTAAATTATGATAATGACAGATTGTATCTGAAATATTTGGCAAAGAAATGACAATTATTGATAATCCCTGAACATTCATGTGGTAACAAAATAAAAATGTATCATGAGGCCTCTTTAAAAAAAATAAATTGCATTCCAGGGTCATTATGGCAAACACTGTTTTTATGATTCATTCAATTTAATGATTAGTAGCTACAATTTGTGCTTGAACTACAATCCACATTTCATCTCTCTGCTAGTCACCAATCTGTCTTCCTTTCCTTTTTCCCTTTGGCTGAAAGTGCAGGTGTTCCATGTAAATGATGGTTCACTATTAACCAAGGAGAGTTATGTCACTGTTACTGTTCAAACAAAAGGATGACAGAAAAATCCCAATTTTCCCATTCACAGTGTGGAATTTCTCACCATATTTTTGCTGGTTGCCTTTGAAAATGACTGGAGCACTCCAAATACAGCTCAAACAGGTGGTGTTGATGGGATATACACCAGTAAACACCCTGTCAATGGCATTTGATATATCCTAGGATTAACTTCACACTGGGGAAAACCATCTAAAAGCTCACATCTTTGGTTTTCTGTTTATTGGTGCCCTTTCATAGGCACCCAAGCATCATGAACTGTGAATAGTAACTAGACAAGCATTCATTGTATAAATTGAAAACAAGACAGAGCTCTTTAAGGTCCAGCAGAAAAACCACGTGTACTTAGGAAAAACCATCTGTACAAGGTGTGCAGTGCAACTCTTGGTCACTGAAATATATCCAGGTGATTGGGTTGGAACTTCTGCCCTTTGTATAAAGTGAGACCTAAAAATCAGAGTACTAGGCAGTTCAGCTACATCTATATCCCTATAAAAATCCTATCGCTTGGCAGGTGGGGATGTAAACTGGGGAAAATTTCTTGTATGATTTCATGGATATTTTCATAAAAGTTAGCATGCCCTCAAAGATGACAAAATATCAAACTTCCCCCCCTGCCCCATGCAAAAAAAACAGATTAGGCTGTCAGCAGTTCAGTTTGATCTGAGAAAAGCTAGGAATACTTTCAGTCCCAACTCACCAGCTATTTCTGTAAAGGTGCTGGATGATACTTTTAACAAAAATCTTTCTAGGGATCTTCAGCTGAGTTGAAGAAATATGCTCACAATAGTTTCAATATTCTTACACAGTTCAGTTCAGCAAGCAAGCTCTCCAGAAGAGAGATTCTGTCAATGAAAACAGGTTTTTGCAATGAAAAATTAAAACTAGACTTGTGTTAACTTTTTGTGATAACTAATGGAAATTTGACTTGTGCTTAGCAAGTTAGGAGGTAATCTCACTTGAATCATCAGAGTTTGTTACTCAGGCTTTGTTCTGACACTGATAATTATGACAATTAATGTTTTTATCTTCTGACTGCTTTTATCTTCTGACTGTTTTTTTCAACAAAGTACCATTATTTTCTAAAAGGTGGGGAGCATTACCTGACAAAAATGGACAAAAACAGAAGTTTTGGGTAAGTGAATACTTAGGACGGTGTTTTGAAGTAGAAGAAAAAAGATCTCAACAACAGAGATCATCTAAAATCTACTTCTTTACTTTCATTCACTCTCTCTGCATCTGTTTTTTTCCTTCACCCTTAAGTGTCCTGCGTAATTCTATTCTCTCTCTGCCAACTTTTATCATGCTGACCCTCAAACCATTGCATCACCTACCTCAATTTCAAAGCCTGTTTCATCCCACCTATACCTGTATTTTTTCCTACACTGCCTTTTCTGTTTCAAATCTTATTCAATTTTTCAAATGTTATTAAAAATTTCTATGAAGAGTCAGTTTTTTTGATGCCTGGAAATGCAAGTCAGTAAAATTAATCAATAGTAATTGTTAAAATATTTGGAAAAGACAAATTTTCTCTTTAAACAGTGTTGGAAATTCTTATCCAGCCACCAAAACCAAAACCAATCAAACTAAGAACATTTCCTTTAAGCCATTTAGAGTAAATCAAATTTTATCATTTGGATTATGACTAACAGCTCATCCCATTGTTCCTGCATTCATCTGAAGGTACTTTGGTGTTTACACAGCTGATGGCAGGGCTTATGGTGGGTAGCTTCACTGCTATCAAAGGCAAAACCTACTGAGATTACAGAGACTTCATCAGAAAATAAGTTGCTTAATATGTCAATACCTACCTGAATAAAACTTCATTCTTTAAAATTGAGCTTTCTTTTATGTATATCTTTGGTGTGTCTTTAACAGGTTAGTTGGAATTCTGACCATTGTTTCAATAACTGTTTTCAGCAGTAAAGAGTTGAATATTCATTTAATGATTTCTGCTTCAATGTATCAAACTATCTTGTAGAAATACTATTCCATTTTTACTATACCTGATTTTGGAACTGAAATTATGATCAAACCAAAAAAGGAACAAATTATTAGAAAACAGAAAAAGATACATGCTAATTCTCAGTGTATCCAATCTGAGCGACTGTTCCTTAAAAAGGAAACTAACACAAAAGATGAATTTTGCATTTAACACCTTGCATTTTTAATTAATATTTTAAAATAATAATAATAATAATAATAATAATAATAATAGTAATAACAATAATAATCTGTTTTGTTTACTTTTAGATTGCTGCAAATTCCTGGGGAAAATCCTGGGGAGAAAATGGTTATTTTAGGATTCTTCGTGGACAAAATGAGTGTGATATTGAGAAGCTGATTTTAGCTACTTCAGGACAACCATAGTTTATCTGTACCATACTCTGCTTGATGTATCTATTCTTCCCATTGTTGTATATTGAGTCTTTATGGGGAAAAAATGATGTCTTCTCTCTAAGTTACCTTTCTGTTAGCCCTCATGAGGTCTTCCTGACTTGAACACACTGCAGACATCATAGCACTCTTGGATCTCACCTGGTACAAAAAACCCTTTAGACTAAAAGCATGTTATATCCAGGACTACTGAAAACCTTGATTGTCACAGAGCAGGGAGCTCCCTCCTCATTGAACAATGCCTGAAAAAAATGGAGTTACAGTGTTAGCATTAATCTCTTTGCAATATATACTCTGACCAGAAATTATTTCAGAAATATTGTGTGCTCTTCCAAACAAAATTGGCTCAGACAGCTCATGGTCCTACTGGATAATAAAATCCAAAGAAATGGAAGTAGTTCTGATCCTGTAGTTGAAGGATTATTTCCTATACACCTTTGCTTAAAACTAAGTAGATAAGTTGTATCTATGTATCGATATCTCATCCAGGAAATTAATTTTTTTCTAGTAGATACCACAAAGTTGATGCATTCAGTTTAACACAAAAATAGCTTGCAATGAAAGAGTGTGTTCCTGTTCCTGCAACCACAACCAAAATGGTATAATTTTAATAATGTTTTAATTAAAATAAAATAAAGAAGAAAATGTAATTTCTTCTCTGTTCATTCTAGACTAGACTAATACCTGAACTGCTTGCCTTCCACTCCCTGTTTAACCTGAAAACAAGCATGTGCCAACATTCCCAAAAGCCTCTTGCAAACAGAAAAAGATGGAAAAGTTATTTTGTTGTTTGTCTGGACTGACATGTCTGTAAGCCAGGCTCAGTTCCTGGTGCTGGTGATCTGGATCAGTAGTGCCAATGAGACACGCAGAACTCCTAATGCTTCCATAGCTACTTCTGTCTGAAGAAGCTGCTTTATGACTCACATTCCCTCCTACAGGCATTGCTGCAAATCTTGACAAGGGCCGTTTTGCTTATTTGTTAATTAAAATATCAATATTGAACCTATTGACATAAGAAGAAATTAAATACTTTCTAGCCTTTTCTCTTACAATTAATCCAAAGGCCAAATGCCAACTGCAATAAAATTATCTATGAAAGAAAACATGGCACGTTAAATAAGTGGGGGGAAAAAGCTGCCATGAAATATCACTGAACAAAGAATTTCCAGGTGTACCTTCAATGTGTTTAATAATGTTCATTCTTTCTAGAATAAGAACCTGCTTTTTAATGTCATCAGCAAGTTCATTCAAGAATTTTTCATGGCAGTGGAATATGACAAATGCCATGTCTCTGAAATAACCTCTCTTAATCTAAAGTTAGGTGACAATTTATGTTGCATCACTTACAGGAGCTATTGTTAAAATGTCTGTACCATACTGCAGCACAACAAGCATTCTGCAGCCTTTAGTGTCATATAGTAAACTGAATTTAGACACAAAAAACCCTTTATATCTTGAAATTTGTAGCAAAGTGTAACACAAGCAATTTTAGATGCTCTTAATGCTCAGAGAGAAATAATTCTTATAGTTTTAGTGAGAGCTAAGTCAGTACTTGAGAGGAAAGTGTACTGAATCATCTGCACATCTATTTCCCAACCTCTTGGTATGTATTGATTCCGTAAATGTCAAGATTTCAGAAGAGTATAATTTAACTTTGAAGTGAATGACACTGTAAAAACATGTTCAGTAAACTCTGGGGGGGATTATTTTTTTCAACTTCAATTTGGCTTGCACTGCTGTGGCTTTTAATTTTGCCAGTGGGTGTTGCTGCTCCTGATTTCCTTATGAGACCTTCCTGAGATCTGGTCTGTGATGTTAAACTTCTAATTTAGGATAGTTGCTTTGTCTGGGACGCCCAGAGAGACATTCCTCAAGGAGAGCTTCCCCTGGGCATGCTGAAATTAGGGAGGTTTCACACTTTCAAGCTGGCAACCAGCACTGGGACCGCAGCAGCAAAGATTTATGTACAGCTTAGTGCAACATGTTTTATAGGAACACAACCTGAAACAAGAGGAACAAGAACTCCCACGGACATAAGGAATTTGCATCTAGAGCAGGGATGAGACAAGCCCTGAGAACGACAAGGGAACTGTTTTCCTGTAGTTCCAGGAATCATGGAAAGTTGCCAGACTAAGAGCAATCCTGAAGAGAGGAGTTACGCTTCCAGAAATCAGAATAAGAAACATATATTTATAAATCTTTTCAGCACAATGTTTTACTAGAGATGTGACAGAAACTTGCACTTGGTCACTAAATGTTATACCTACCATGTGGATACTGTTTCTTATATGAACTTACATCTTTGCACCCATTCCTCACTGCAAGGACCAGCCTTTACCAGGATGGAGGCTGTGTCTCTGCCCCAGTTAACAGCAAATTGAAATATTGCTTTATTCTAAAGTTCTCCTGCATCCCCTCACTTAAGATACACCTGTATCCGGTTACCATGTTTGTTTCCAGACAATGTGGAGCCCCAGCTCTCAACATTTTCTTGGTCCCATGCTGTTCAGCAGTCACCCCCAATCAAGGCTGAAGGCAGAGGTCAGTGAGTGAGGGGTGCAGAGCAGGCACCTCTGATTCAACTAAGTTTTAGTTAGGGCATATTAGAGACAGAATGAATGCAATGAAAGGAATAAATTTTCTCTTTTCTTTATAAGTCTAGCTGTCAAATACACACACCATAATACAGTGAATGTTATTGCTTCATCTATAACAATTTATTGTTTTCCCTGGAAATCTTCGTCATGGAACAGCACTACGCAAAGCTTTTCCTGGAGAAGGCAGCTGAGGAAGAAGCCTGAGGCAGGAGGTCAGAGTAAGCTCACCACTAAAATCCTCTGTGCTTTAAAGTTTTTGGGGCTCTTGAAGCCGTGGGCTGCCTCAGGTTCTGTATGAAGTATTTTAGGCCTATCTGGATGTTTCATTCAGCTCTTCCAACAGTGGTAGCCACCCAAACACATAGATGGGAACTCATTAATTTAAACTACTGCCTCAATATAAGCGCAACTGCAATTCCATTGCAAAACTCTGGAGACTATAATCTTTTATTTCTCACTGCAGCAAATTGAGCATAAAACCACGAGTATAGTTCATTATGTCTATCAAATCATGATACACAGCCCAATGTGTTATCAAAGAAAAAATTATAGAAAATTTATGAGTAGAAGACAAATATTTAGCCCTAGTGTGCTGTACTGTCATACAGTGAAGGACTCAGCTGTTGGTCCAAATTCATCAGCTATGTTGCTATTGCTTGTAGTTACAATACTGTTCTTACTCAGAATCATAGAATTGGAAAGGACCTCTAAGGTCATCAAGTCCAACCATTAACCTAGCACGGCCAAATCCCTAACACACACCCTTAAATGGCATATCTACAGCTCATTGAAATACTTCCAGGGATAGGAACCCCACCACTTCCTTGGGCAGACTTTTCCAAGTCTTGAAAACCCTTTCTGTTAAGAAATTATTCCTAATATCCAGTATTAGGAAATATTCCTAATATCCAATGTAAACCTCCCCTGGTACAATTCAAAGCCATTTCCTCTTGTCCTGTCACTTGGCAGAACAGACTAACCCCCCATTTTTTGATAAGGTCCTCCTCTAGCCTCCTTTTCTTCAGGCTAAACAAATCCACTTTCCTCAGCCTTGTGCTCCAGCCAAAGGGCTTCTCTTCATCAAGAAACTTGGAAACAACGGAATTGGAAAATCAAGGTTTTAGAAACTGCACATCTTCTTTTTTAAGCCACAGAAGAAGTTTTTTAAGAGCACTGTGTGCCACTAGCTAGCAGGCACCACTACATGTGAAAAAGTGTATTAAAAGTGTGACCTCAACAGAACTCAAATTGCTGAAGTCTGTGAAAGACTTGACACCAAAAGAAAGGTAAAAAAGTGTAGAAGAAGAGGGAGGGGAGAATAATGGTTTAATATGGTTTAATAATTCTTTTCGGTTTCCACCAGGTGTGTTAGCAAAAAGTAATTATACTTTTGTCTTGGAAACAAAATTCAGTAAGCTTTGAAGGGCTTCAGCTCAGACTAAAGCAAAATATAAGACCATATTTACAGATTTTTCAGCAAGTCTGGGCTAAACTTTGACAAAGTCTAAAGCAACAGCATGTTTCAACTGGAATCATCATCTTGTTGTAGTTCCACTCCACCAAGTCTGGCATGAAACTCACCCATTTCACTCTGATTTCCTTCTTGAAAAACTAACCAAAATCAAAATGGACTCACCTTCTCTGAAGGAATGCACCAGAACTAAGAAAAAAACAAAGCAAAAAAACCCCTGCATCTTTAGTCTCTACTAAATATAGACTCTGCCAAATTTCATCCAACATTGCTGCAAACAAAAAATACTAGAGCACCACAGTGTAGCTGCCCTAGTGACATTTTCAAGGTAAATAACTGCATAAGGATTCATCCAATAGAAAAACACAGAGGGAAAAAACACAACATCATTTTTTTTCAAGCCCTGAAGAATTTACTGTTCCATTAAACAGGAAACGTTCCTTCTCTGAGTTAAGTTTTTTATGAACAGATGGCATTTCACTAATTGGCTACTTTTAATGTGGATTTTTGTTCACTGTTCTGATGCTTCTTTGTCCCTCATGTCATATTGCCTTTTAATGTGTTTGCATTTCTTGTGTTACCTTTGTTATTACTGACATGCTAATGTTTGGGACACTGAAGGTGATATTTAAATAAGATTGCATCTGTGTATACCTAAGAACTTGGGTTCCCATAAGTTTCCATGGTATTTTGGAAAGGCTGGTGGAATTTATTTCGGGAGAGCAGAAGAACAAGAAATTTAATGTAGTTTCTGTGTACTGAATTGTCTCAATGGACAGACTGCCCAAATGCTAGTAGCAGAAAGGGAAAGAACATAAATGGGCAAAACTTCTTTGATTTCAGTCTGATTCTGTTCCAATCTATCATAGAATCATAGGATCATAGAAACATCAAGGTTGGAA